GTGACAGTTTTTCTCCAGATATTCCAAATTATATAATCTATTCATTTCTGTCGTCGATGTGGAAGCTCAGTCCTTTCAATCTTTCAAATGCAAATGTGGCTAAAGACCACTAATAGATGATTATATGACATTATGTTCTATAGTACATGGATACGTAGCGGATAAAAGGGAGAGAGAGAGAGAGAGAGAGAGAGAGAGAGAGAGAGAGAATGTGTGTATGTGTGTGTGTATACTGTGTATCTTTGTATTATTTTTAATTTCGTTTGCATTCTTTGTATCGATAGGCTTTATCTCTCAGCCTGTCACTGGCTTACATGTCTTTCACTGAATTAGTTCAGTCTTTTTTATTCTTTTGTATTGATTTAGTATTCATCTGTGATATTTCTTTAATCGCGTTTTAGAGTATTCTTGACACTGAGAAGTGAATATACAGTACTATTGAACTATAGTACTATTCTTGCTCTTCCAATATATATATATATATATATATATATATATATATATATATATATATATATATATATATATATATATATATATATATACATATATATATATATATTGTTTACCTGTTATTGTTAAAATTGTTAGTATTGCCATCGTTCCTCTTTATATTATCATTATCATTCTTTTTATTCTTATAACTGACGTCTTTATCTAAAATCATTTTTGTCATTATCTTTATTATGATTATCATTTCTAACACTGTTATTTTTACTACAACTATTGCTGTTATTCTCGTACTTAAAATCAATACTCTTAGATGTTAATATAATTATTGTAGTTGATGCTATAATTAGTGTTATTTAAAGTTTTCATCGACATGTTGACATCCTGAGATAAACTATAGCAACATGTTCTTTTTATCATCACATTTATAAAAGCACAGCTGTTATTGTAATCACTATCACTTTGATTATCGTAATTGTTATCTTCATCATATCAAAACATAATTGCTATCATACCCAGTCCTGATTCCATTAAGAAAACTCCAAAAAAACAACAACTTTTAAAGACATTCAGAATACATAAATAAAAAAATCCTACCTTGGGGTTCAGAAATAAAACAACCACTTAATCTGTGTGTCTCTTATTAAAACCAGTTGTACATATCACAAAGTTGAATACATATTATGAGTAGCGTACACACAATGGTAAGAAATCCAACGATATACACAAGCACTGGGGAGAACAAGCTGTATGAACTGAGGAGAAATTCTTGCCGTTTCGTGGATGTCCATTTGATCTCGAGTTCATTTTTTTTTCTATTATGGGTATTATTATCGTTATAATCATTATCATTATCATTGCAATCCTTATCGTTTTAACATTTTTTTTAGTGTGTTTATTTTTTTTCTGATAAATAATCCCGCAGTTATTGTTATTATTTTTATGGGTTTGAGTTTCTGTTCGTTACACCTGTTATTAATAGAACCCTGTTAGAAATTGACTTTGCATGGCGGGTATTGTCTGTTGTGTAATATTGTCTTACTGCATCCCACTGAATTTCTAATATGATGTCTATTAATTGATTGTGTGTGTATATATATATATGTGTGTGTGTGTGTGTGTGTGTGTGTGTGTGTGTGTGTGTGTGTGTGTGTGTGTGTGTGTGTGTGTGTGTGTGTGTGTGTGTGTGTGTGTGTGTGTAGATATATATTATTATTATTATTTTTTTACTTAGTTTTCAAATCGTTTTTTTTAATCTAACACAATACAAACAAGTTACATCCTTTGATTTCCTACAATCAAAAATATATCCAACAATGTTAAGAAGGTTTTAAAATTTGGTGTTACAAATGTACTCCATTCATTATGCACGTAAAGTCTCTCCTTACCATTGTTTTGGGCTCAGATTGTGTTCACTCAGTTTTATGACATTCTTGTTCTCAGAAATAAGCAACATGTTTCATTAAAAGGACTTCATACAGTCTCCATGCATTACTGAAACTTACAAGTACTTCCAAGTTCTTAAGATTGTAATAATGCACACAAAATCAAATACAGTTCTTAGTAAAAGCCAATTACAGTGACACTGTGAATTCAAGTGTTTTTTATCATTATTATTATTTTATTGTCTTACATCCTACAAGATCCTCCTCTCTTTTTTTCTTGTGATAAATCGAAAAAAAAAAATCTCTGGCAAGACAAGTTACAAAAGTATTTTACAAGTCCCAAGCCCTTGTACAGTGCTTTCACGTTCGTCGTGAACTGAAAGATATCAGAAAGTTGAAAAGGTAGACATAACCTAGCATCTGGTAAAAAAATAAACTGAAACACATATAACCTTTTCCACATGTTCAGCAGATAATATATATATATATCTTTTGTCTTATTAAGTAGTGATATTTTATATTTCCCTTCTTTGCTTTAAGGTGTAGACTAATAAGGAACATTAACTACTGTTACATGGGGAAAAAAGTACTCAATGATACTCCTCTGTGATCCTACTGTAACATAAAAAAAATATCATCATAGATGTGCCGTTGCTGAAGTTACTTTACGCTGTCTTGACCTGTCTTTGAGGTTTTGCGTATGTGAGAACTATCGTGAAGTGTAGTGCGACATGCTTCAGGACTAATGAAGAATTTCGGCCTGTCTAGAAACCACGCTTGGGTGAGCAGACTGGAGTACAAAGCACCGAAGAGCACGGTACGAGACTCCATCGTTTATTCATTGATTGATTTCGAAAACAAAAGACACCGACTTGGGTTCTGGTAGACGCATCCTTAAAATGAGACGAGTTACTCGACCTGTTACAATTTCTTCCCAAATGACCAGTTCAAGAGTACTGAAAAACAACACAAAGAGACCGGGTTTACAGTAATTCCTTTTTGCAGAAAGAAGGTCGCACACACGAGTGGAAGGGGATGAGAATATACACAAAAACCCCCTTTTGTGCTCACACTAATTTACAAGCTTCAGCTGCACATAATCTTCTAAAGCACAAGCCTAGTTTTGTCTGATAAGTGACACAATCACTACGTCCTTGAAACATAGACAGCTCTCTCACTCTTCCAGCGCAAGTACTCCTGTCAGAATGTCGGTCGGGATCCTTGTGGTATATCTATTTCTATTGGAAAACCTCTCCTTTCTCTCTCTATCTCGTCTTCGTTCTACTGTGTTTGTGTCTAGTTGTATTTATTTTCTTTTTGTCTTTTGTTAAGCTCTCACAAGTATGATTGTGTGTAATCCATAATTTATTTGGTGATGAGTCTGGAAATACAATTAGTTTTAATTGGATTTCTATACAAACCGTAACAAATACGATTTTGAGATCGTTCGTCCTGAATGCATTCACAAATGTTACGCAACACATTAGGGAAACGGATGCTCCCGGATTCACCCAATCCGCACGGAGGTGATTGGAGAAAGGTCTAACTCATGCAGAAATCTGTACTGGATAGAGAGATAATGGGGGTCGGACATCAGAATAAATCCACCCCTTGAGACAGGCTTGGTTAAAAGTGTCACACCACTGATATGTGGAACAACATCAGCATAGTTCACTGCCCATGGCGTTTGAGTTCTACAAACATCCATGTACTGTTTGTAGATATATAAAATCCAGATCCGGTGATACTCGTCTTCTGATGATCTGTGGCTTTGCTAGTCTAGGAATCAGTTTTTCATTTTCATTTCTTTTAAACAAAATAAAGATACTGTACTACAATCTAAAAGTTTAATTTTGGAAGGCAGAAGCTACATTTAGAAAGGGGATTGTTATTATTTACATTTATACTTAATGCTTTATCCTAAACTATTCCGAAACAGCAATTGAGTACATATACACAATGGATCTTTTTTTCCTCTCCAGATGAGATTACAATATACCGTAATGCAACTATCCTTACACTAATATCCCTTAAAATACTCAAGCTACTCCACACTAGTCAATGAATTACATTTTCTTCTTTAATACAGACATCAATATACAAGATGTAGTTACATACAAACACAAGCCTGTATTTGTAAGGCAATAAACAGGTTTAAGGTTTATTCTATTCGTGAAAGAGGCAGTGAGCTCAGCACTAGCCGGGCACAGAGAGGGTCGAATGCTATCCTTTGTTTATATAGACTTTACACCTAAGCTATGTGGTGGGGGGCATGGGGTGTAGAGGGAGGGGGGAGGGGGGAGATAGTGATAGACTAGGGGAAAGGAATACAGGTTTATTTTTTCTTTGTCTTCTATTTTCTCTTCCTCTCTTTTTTTTTTCTTTCTTGGCCACGGAAATGCCGGTCTCACTCCCTCTTGCAAATCCTCCATGTTATCGAGTGTGTTGTGTTGTGTTGACAGAAGCCCATAACACCTCAAGAACCCCAAGCTTTACCTTCAAGACGCTGCCACTTGTCTCTCGCGGGTCAAAAAAAAAGGAGGAAATTTTGATTAGCTGGTCATTCTTCCTTCTTTACAAAAATAGCACATGCAAGAAGTACAGGTTGTTGACTGAAGGGTTGTTCTGCGCAATGGATCGTCCGAGAACTTTTATTCGCGCAAGGAGGACAGGGGGAGAAGGTTGGGGGTGACGATGCTTGTATTGTTACTTTCTCTGCATGTGGGAAGTCCTATAGAGTGCGCAGGTAAGAAACCCCGTTAAGTCTACGGGTTAGAGTCCCATAAATTCCACAGGTGGCAACCCCCCACAAAATCTACAGGTGGGAAAACCCCAATACATTCTACAGGTGAGAAATCCTAAAAGTCTGCAGGTCAGAATCCCGAAATTTCAACAGGTAAGAAACCCTCCGTAAAATCTACAGGTGGCAACCCCTCATACAATTCTACAGGTGAGAAACCCCCATAAATTCTACAGGTAATAACCCCCCATACATTCTACAGGTGAGAAACTCCCAACAAATTCTACAGGTGAAAATCCCCGAATAAAGCTTGAGAATTCATGAAATGAGACGAGTTCAAAATCCTTGGTGGGGGCGGGGAGGGGGGAGAGAAATCGCCTCTCTGCTTGCTTCCTTCTTGCTTGCTTCCTCCCTTACGCCGCCGAGCTCTCCTTGTTCTACACGCATGTGGAGGGAATGTGTCAGTAGTAGTAGCTCTTATTCTAAAGACCATGAATAATATGACTAGATTATTTATCTTTTTTTAAAAGGATAATCAGAAAAAAAATGAAAAACAAATTTAGTTCATCTCCTGTTTTTTGTTTGTGCAAAAGTGCAAGGCTAAGCTAACTGTGGCACATATTAACTTTATGTGTAATGTTTACCGAGAACTGATCAGGAGTGGGCATCATTGAACTCAAACACTGATAAACATTATTAGAAGGTATTGACTTATTTCCCACGGTTGGTACAGGACCTCAAGAACCAGTGATTAGATATGCTACGTAAATCAATCAGATTAAAATATTAATTTCATTCTAGGAAGATTGGTATAATAACAAATACATATAGTATTATTTTTGTAGTTTTTTGGTTAGTTAGTATCAAAATCTAGCAAAGAATATTGATCAAAATAAAGGGAAATAAAGAATGACTCTCCCCATCCTGGTCAGTTTCATTGTAAGAGCTTAGTAGATTTAAATGGATTACCTTTTCTTCTACACGTTAATGAATCCCCGATGAAAAGAGGGTGGGATTTGCCAATCATCATTATCTTTATGACTAGTACTTTTGTTACCATGAAGCATAGTGCTTAAAAAAAAAGAAAGTATTTTTTTATGAATAATGGAAGTGATACACGGAGCATTCAAATTGTTCAACATCTTCTAGTTATGCCTTTGCAACACCGCTACGTGACTGCTATTGCACATGTTTGCAAGCTTGCATGATAGTGTGTTTACATTCACTTCTATTCTGAGTCTTATCCTAGTTTCTTTCTTTTTTTTCCCATTTTCTTTTCGTTTTTGAGTTACGAGAACTAGATGATGATATAGATTCCCCCACTTGTGAAAAGTCGAATCATTAAATAATCTCTATAAATACGTATTTAAAACTAATAATAAAAAGAACACAGTATTTTTTTCGTTTTATATTGTTCTCTCTAAGTAGAATAGATTAATGAGATCACCAGTGATTTATTATATACGCTAATTACCACTGTCTAGGTCACGTGATTAATTTACCTGATCCGACATACCCGTTCTTGATTACCAACAGGTGGAATGTTGAAAATAATAATAATGAATAAACAGAAAATAAATAAATAAAGAGACTACTGATTATATTACATTAGAAAGATATGTCTTGAATATCATACTCCCCTCCTCTTCTATGGGTATGTCTACGACCAAAATACATGAATAAAGAACATCCTCTAAATAAATAAGTGAATAAATAGTAACAATCATATAGAACGCTGTTTTTCTTCCTTATACTGATACTTTTAAGTAAGGTTCCTTATAGGATTTACTGTCTAAGAGGGAGGGTTTGAGCTGCGTCGTGAGCCATACTTTCAGGGTTTTTTTCTTTTAAGTCTGTACATGTAGTTGATGAATCAGTGTCTCGGTGTTCCTTGTACAGAGACGGTCTTTCGTATGAATAAAAGCACAATGGAAATTCATACGTTTTGTTTTTCAATCTCCACTTTCTTTCCATGCCCTTTTTATTGTCCTCTTCTTTCTCTTTCTCTCTTCCCTCTATTTCCCTTACACTCTTCTTTTATCTTTCTCCTTCTCTCTATTTTTTTATCCTCTCCTTCCATTCTCGCTCTCTCTTCCTCTCTCTCTCTCTCCTTCGTCCAAACCCTTGTCCCTTCCTTCCTTCCTTCCTTCCCTTCACTTCTCCCTTAGATGTACTTCTTCGTCACCCACACGGCCAGGCGGGGGTGCACCAGCGACCCGATCTCGCAGTTGACGGTCCGTGTCTCCCCGTTGATCACGAAGATGGCGGCTTCTGAAGGGGAGACCATGTAGTGACCGAAGACGCCGGCGGAGACGATGGCGCGGTTGGTGTTGCTCCACTCGGCCAGCTCGGGGGGCATGGCCTTGCCCACGCCCGTGATCATCTCGACTTTGCCTGCCGGGGGGAGGGGAGAGTGAGAGAGGTGTGAGGTGTGAGGGGAGTGGGAAGGGGAGGAAGGGGAGAGTGAGAGAGGGATGGTGTGAGGTGTGACGGAGGTGGGGAGGGGAGGGAGGGGAGAGTGAGAGAGGTGTGAGGTGTGTGAGGGGAGTGGGGAGGGGAGGGAGGGGAGAGTGAGAGAGGTGAGAGAGGGATGGTGTGAGGGGAGTGGGGAGGCGAGGGAGGGGAGAGTGAGAGAGGTGTGAGGTGTGTGAGGGGAGTGGGGAGGGGAGGGGAGAGTGAGAGAGGTGTGAGGTGTGAGGGGAGTGGGGAGGGGAGAGTGAGAGAGGGATGGTGTGAGGTGTGAGGGGAGTAGGGAGGGGAGAGTGAGAGAGGCGTGAGGGTGTGAGGGGAGTGGGTGGAGAGTGAGAGGGATAGCGAGGGGTGTGAGAGGAGTAGAAAGGGGAGAGAGGGGAGGGAGAGAGGGATGGACGAAATGATGCGAGTTTGATATATATATCATAATAATGACGATGTTAATGATGATAGAAAAAAAACAATAATAATTATAATAACAATATCAATTGTAATTATGATAATATTGAGGAAGATACTACTACTACTACTAAAGATGATTATGATGATAATATCAATACCAACATTAATATTAACATTAAAACTAATACAAATACTACTAATAATAATAATTATAATGATAATAATACCAATAACAATAGTGATAATAATAATGATATTAATGACAACAATAATAAAACTAATGATAACAATAACAATTATAATAAGAATAACAATATCAATGCTAATAATGTCAACAACCATAAAAATAATCATAACAACGACAACAACAATCACAATAAAAATGTCTCACCTGTGTGCAGTTCGAGGAAGAAAATGTCATCCTTGTCTGTAGACGCAGCGTACAGGTCATAGCTGTGTGTCAGACGTGAGGGGAAGAAGGTCACATCGCTCACATTCAGAGTTGTGATGACGTCATACACATACTCCAGTCCGTGATCTGAAATGGAGGCCAAGTTCAAAGAATCTGGAGTCAAGAGGTGTTGATTTTTTTTTTTTTGGAAATGAGAAATAGGAGTGTATTGTGAATTTAGGATTGGTTTGATTCGATGGATGAACTATTCCGGTTTTTGTATTTTTTTCAGCCTATGGGATTAGCTTTCTATCCATCAGAATTTATCCAATGCTTATGTTTAAATACTTTATCAATTTAACCAGTCCATAAACTTTTCGAAGCATTACAATTTCGTCCCTTCTTGCTCACAATTTCCCCACCTTCTACAGCAAAACAATAAAAATAAGACAATGCTCAAATCACCCTATGAAATGATACGAAACATGCGAAAAACAACACTGGGCTGTATCTGATTTTATTTTTATTGTATCCATGTAAGCTGGTGTATTTATCGTAAGTAGGATTAATGTTCAACCTTTTAAAGTATTCCCACGTGATGAGGCTGTTTAATATGACTCCATGCATCACAAAACTCATGCTTTTTATCGCCTAATATCCCTACAGTTTTAAAGTGATTTGATATTCATAACCATTACCATTTTACTTTAAACGACTGTTGTTACATTTCGAACCCATGAAAAGATGATATCGACTATTATTACTATATTGTATTACCACGTTTTATGATATTTGGACATATCTGTATACCACTATAGATAGATTTTGAATCCTTATTGCTAAGACTAAAACCCGTATTATTTTTATCAGAACCTCAATTAAACTGGCTTAAAATAGGCATTCCTTCACCTAGTGGCAGAGCACTGGTTTTACAAATGTAATGTCTCCGGCCTGCGCTTGACCAGCCCCCTCTCAGTCGACTCGGATGTGAGTACTGGCATCAGCATTTTGGGGTCAAAGTCGGGGAGGAAAGCAACTAGTTGTCGTACCGCATCGCCCCGCTGCTTAGTACACACTTTCCTCTACAAACATGTCACCTGCACCTACTTGGGCATGGACCCAACTTCCCAAACTTACGTCATTGTATCTTAAACCTGCTCTGTCTGACTTAAAGCCTGCAATCCATCCCCTTACCTGCCGTATATCACGTGACCTACCATCCCCCCCACCTCTACGCACCTGTGACTTTCTGGACGACAATCTTCACGTGGTAGAGCGTATCGACCGTGACGACAAGCGAGGAATCGGGGACGACATGAGGACGACCCATGAGGTTGGTCTTGTGGCTGAGAACGGCGTCGGTGAGGTAGTCGAGGACCAGCTGCCCCGTGCGCCGGCCGGTCACGGGCTCCTGGCAGTCCATGACCACTAGGCCGTCTGGGGGGGAGGGGAAAGGCGGGTTAGGGTGCGGTGGGGAGGGGGTGATGGTGGGGTGTGATGGTGGTGGTGGTGGTAACGATGATGATGGTGGGGTGTGATGGTGGTGGTGGTGGTGGTAACGATGATGATGGTGGTAATTGTGATCATGAAGGTGGTGATTGTAATGATGATAGTGATGATGATGATCTAATTATATGGGAAGAGGAGCGATGATGATGATGGTGTTATTATAT